CCAGATGTAATGGCGCTCTCAGTTTGGAACAAAGGTTCAGGAATCAGTTGGCATAAGCCAAACTGCCTCGAAACGAAGTTTGGTTGGTAGGCAAAGAGAAGAATTTGGTTCTTAGCTGGGGTTATCCTCGAAGAGATGAGTCTAGGAAGCAAGAAAGCTCTCCATACATCTTGGATCTCCTTGCTCTTGATGGCTTCTGAGAGAGCTATGGTGAACCAAGAAGGTCCATGAGCCCTCGAAGCGAAAGGCGCCATGCTCTCTTCGAACTTATGCATTTTGGAGAGGATCATGATATACTTCGAGAATTGAACCTTGAAGTCATCCTTGTCATCATTAGGAGTTAGTCTTCGAAGCCTAGTGCCTTCGACTATCCTGTCACTTATTTCCGAATCTTGCTCATCTATAGTGCTAGCGGTTGGTAAAGAAGGTTCGAACATGGCGTTTAGCCATAATTGGAGTAACCAAAATGGGCCAGCTAATAGAATGTTTTTAGAGGTGTGGGATTTGAGACTCGAAACGGCTGACCTCAGGCTCTCATAGAGGTCAACTAAGAGTAATTCACTTAGGCACACTTTGCGATTTTCGTGTAAATCCCTAGCTAGAGGAATGAACCTACTAGCTACCTGCAGGGATCTACTGCAGAAAACGTACCTAGATAGCCACAGGGTTAAGAATGCAATATGCTCTATGTCAGACACATTATCCCCTTCAGCATGATAATGGCTGATAAATTTGGAAAAGCTGGCTAACTTGACTTCGAAGTCAATTATGCTGGAGTGTTCTTCGTTGTCAGGAACATAAGTTTCTCCCACTGGCGACAGCCCAGTAATAGCCGCTATATCAAAGAAAGTTGGGGTAATCATTCCACCTGGGAGATGGAAAGTGTTGTAGGTACTATCCCAGAAATAAAGGGACGCAAACAGCAAAGGATGGCTATAGGTGAATCCAGGTTTCGACAGCTTAATGAGGTTATAAATGCCTAGTTCTTCCCATTGCTGGGATTTTTTGGCTTCTACTTTCGCGAACCAATTTTGATAGGCAATATCAGAAGTAGGGCAAGACCTAAATGGTTTAAAATTGCTTTTTACATAATCCAAAACAAATGGGTCCTTGGGAGGAACAGTTGGGGTTTCTGCGGTATTCGAACTGAGGGATTCTACTACCCTAGGGGTATCCATTTTGTTGAATAAAGGTTTGAAGCTATAACATACGGGAAAAATTGTCCTGGTGTCCTTTAGTATTTCAAAAACTGTAAGAGGACCATTTAAGGCTAACCTCTTACCAGCAACATGGGTAGGGATGAGTACCTGTGATGCGTACAGCATTTCTTTTTCTTTGGAAATCATTTGAGGAGCAAGAGCAGATTGGCCTTGAATGGTGACGATTTTACTCTCCATGGTTGCTCCTGTAGTCTTTCCCTTCTTCTTTGAGACTTTCTTGAGTTGGGAAGAGGTGGAAGAAGACATTTTTGTTGTTTGAGAGCTTAGATTGTTTATGAGAGAAGAAGAGTGAAATTCAGAGTATGAAAGATTTAGAGTGTAAAAAAGGAAAAGGAAGAGTAAATTAACGTTTTATAATGAGAAGATTAAACATCCACCGAGTAAAAGTGTGATACGTGGAGATCATGGGTTGGTGTGATGAAGAGGTGGCGAGAAGGTGATATAGGTAATAGGCGTGATTTAAAAACAATCATTACTTATAACTGCACCACGCTGTGAAGTGACTCTGGGCGGTTAAGGAACTCAAAAGGTGTTATGATTGATGTGACTGGAGTCAAAGGCATTAAATGTTATGATGATTCGAAAATCCTATCAAAATCTTGTATAAATGTTTAAAATAGGTATTTCTCAAAGAGATCGAAATACATATTTTAAAGGGGCAATTTGTTGGCTGAAGATTTTGATAATGTTATCTAGAATTCAAAAGAGTTAAAAGTTCTGATCGAAATGGAATTGAACACCATATTTCGAAGTTGCAGAAGCAGTGTTTCGAATGAGTGTGTCAAAGCTTGAAGCTTCGAACGGTGATTATGGGAACATATCCAAAAGGGTCTCGAAACAACAGCGAGGCTAGGTTTGGGAAGAGCGTTCGAAACGGAAGAACACTAAAGCATTTAAAATTTAAATGGAAGCGGGACTTTCAAAGTTTGAAAGTTTTGTGTTGGAGCATTTGGGGACACGTGGAAAGATGAAAGAAGCATTGTCTTGCATGTTCGAAACGTGGCATGATCCTATAGCAAGACCGTTAGGGTCGAATTAGTATAAATAGAAGTCTTAGTATTAGGATTTCAGTGTGTCATATCTGTTATACAAAATACTCAATAACATTCAAACTACCACATGGCAAGGGAAACGAATGCAAGAGAGATGTATGTATGATAGCACCATGTATTTCTAACTTAATGAAAGCCTTTTTACTATTTCCAGTACTTTCCTCTTTTCTTTTTATCGAATAACATTTACAAGTTTCTTTATTTACTGTCTTTTCATTTCAAAGTCTTTTCCTCAAAGTTTTACGTTTTATTGCTTTCTTTATATTTCGAGCACTTTATATTCCAGAGAACTGTTACGCTTTCAATACCTTTACTTCCAAGTATTGTTTTCAAACGCATCCTTTTACTTAAAATCATTTATAGATTTCTTGCATTAAACGCTTTCTTCACATTTTTAACTTCTACATTCCAGAAATCTTTTCTTTTAAATGTTTTGCAAATCGAAACCATTTACTTCATTTTTCATGCAGTTTTATATGTCCCTTCAATAAGCATTACAATTAGCATTTATTCGTATAACTTAGTTTTCATGTACAATTTGACCACATTTTTAAACTCGTAGAGAGAAGGATCGAAATAAACCAAACACTTGCACAATAGCAACCATGAATAATTGTTCGATTGTGAGAGTAACTTTAATATCCAAGGAGTCCTAGGATCAATCTAGTCGATCCTGTGAGTTACCAGAGAGATTGAGTAGCGTTAATAAAGATTATTCGATAGTTTGGAAGACTAGCGGTTGTTTACCAGAAATCACTGGAAACACCTACGATAAACTTATAAGGCATGAGCCAGGCCTATGGCCTACTATAAACTCATTTTTTAGCCTGGTCCGACCTTTTAAAAGTCAGGCCTGGCTTGAAAGCTTATTTAAAAGTTTGTTTCTCATTAAGGTTTTGAATAAATTCATATTACTTAAGAAGTCTTATAGGTCGATCTATATATGTATATACAAGCCGACTTATTTATCATTTTTTCTAATATATATGTTATTAACATGATATATATATATATATATATATATATATATATATATATATATATATATATATATATATATATATATATATATATATATATATATATATATATATACCAACCTATTTAAACTATTTTTAATATATATATAAAAATATAGGCCGACGTATAAGGCTTCATAGGCTTTTTTAATAGCATAAGTCTGATCTATTTAATTAAATAGACTTTTAAAAAAGTATAAATCTGATCTTTTTAGTAAATAAGTCTGGTCTGACCTGACCTCAAATAGGTTAGATCATATGCCTCTGTAGGCCGGTCTGACCTATTTCCATCCATATTTTTATCTTTAAAATTTTATTTATTTTTGTAATTAATTCACTCATGTTTTTTTTAAATATATATATTTTATTATTTTACTAATAAATAATTAAATAATTATGATTTATTATTAAAAAAGACTAATGTAAAATAGAATTGAGAAATTCAAATTTTAAATTTTTAAAGATTTTTTTAAAGGCAAATAAGATCAATATATCAAAAGAAGAAAAAACACTATCGACCAAAATATAAACAAATCCCAAAAAAAGCATAAAGAGTATTAAATTAAAAGAAAATTCGACAGAAAAAACAAACAACAAAAACAATCAACACCAATCAATAACCAAGGGGATCAGACCAAGAAGAAATAAATAAAGTAAAAAAGAAACAACACAAAAACCAGAATCGAGATACAAGTTAGATCTCTTCGAACCAAGACACCTAAAAAACAATAAAGTCATAAAGATATAACAAAAATACATTCAATGGAGGCCGAAGCCACTCAAATTACTATAAATTTAAAAATATGACATGATTCTCAAGATAGGATGAAAAGACATATGAGTTTTTTTTCCACGGATCTACCAAGATACAATTTCTAAGCCAAGATGATTTTAGGTCTTTCACATCTTTAGATGTTCCCATGAATCAAAGAAGGTTATATCATTCAGAAATTTTCAAATTGACTAAACCACGTCATGCCAAATCATCCTCAACCCCAATTTAGACCTAGAGCCTCTACTAGACACAATAAACATTTAAAAAATAGTCAAATATCTCTAGACAAGACAGCACTCCAACCCATCCATCTAAAAACAACCTCACAAATTACAAAGAGATACGAAAAAGACTCAATAAATACGAAACAAAAGAGACATAAAACAAAAAAATCAATAAAAAAACCAACATAATATATATATATATATATATATATATATATATATATATATATATATATATATATATATATATATATATATATTTCAAAATATTTAATTTATTTTAAAAAAGAATAACGACACAGTTTATTGTCCGTTTAATTTTTATTTTTAAATTAATTTAATTTTTCATATATACAATAATGCCAATTTCAGTTTGACTTCTATGAATTAGAATAAGTTAAAAAATTTACTTTTGAAATTATATATATTGAATATACATTTAAAATCAAATCATTTCGTAATTGTTTTTAAGAATTATTATTTTCAAATATATCTTGATAAATATTAAATTATATATTTTTAATTCTTCCTTAATACAACCGGTGGAAAAATATACATATAAATAGAAACCAGTCCTACAGACTTTTGAGGGTATAAACAGAATCTTCCTGAACTATAGCTTTGGCAATATCGACACACAAAATATATATATAGTTTAGTTTAGCAACTCAGGTGGATCAAATACAAATAGCATAGGCAAAACCAAGATCATGGTGATGGAAGAAGAAAGAGATTGTTGTTCAACAATAACACTGAACAGAAGCAACAACAACATCAACCCCAAAGAGAATCACAAACAAGAGAAACCATACAGAGGAATAAGGAAGAGAAAGTGGGGAAAGTGGGTTGCAGAAATACGAGAACCAAACAAAAGATCAAGAATCTGGTTAGGTTCTTACACCACACCCGTAGCCGCCGCACGTGCCTACGACACCGCCGTATTCTACCTAAGAGGCCCGACGGCTCGTCTTAATTTCCCCGAATTATTGTTCCAAGACGATGAAGACAGCAGCATCAACACCAACGGTTCTGTTCCACAAGGTAACATGTCCGCTGATTCAATACGCATAAAAGCCACCACTGTCGGTGCTAGAGTTGATGCTCTTCAAACCGCTCTTCAAGCTTCATCACGTTCCAGTTCTACTCACTCTGATGTTAAACCTGATTTGAACGAGTTTCCAAAACCTGAAGATTATTAATATAATTTTTACTATTATATTTTCTCTCTGTAATTTCTGCAATTTCCTCTACTCAATTAATCTTTCTGTTTCTTAGAATTGTTAACGGAGCATATACATATGCAGAATTAGATTATAGAATATAAACTCTTGTCATAAATTAATGTAACCTACTTTTAATTAAGATGATCAATTACTCTTTATACTCTTTATTTATAGTGATGTGTTTTTGTGTCACTTCAATTGATAGTTCCGTGATATCCATCCCATGCTGATGTATTTTTAAGTTAATTTCTGAAAAATATTATGAATAACCATGTTTTGTTGATTGATACTATTTTTTCCCATAAGGTTGCGTTTTTTGTGAGCTATATTCTCTTGAATGTTATCTTGACGAGGATAATTGACGTGCAAATGAATGCAATGAACTAGTGTGTGTGTGTGTGTGAAAAGAGGCCAATAAACGGTGAAGAGATAAAGATAGGATTCCTAGGAACGGCAGTGGCCCAACAAAGCCGCATTAGTTTGAAAGGTACATAAAAATTTAATATTGTTTCAGTTGTTATAAAGTATAACAAGTGGATATTGAGATAAGCACCAAAAGAGTTAGTTGTTGATATGTAGAATGAGCTAGACAGGTGAAGAGTAAGTGGTGTTCAATCTCAAAGAGTGTTATTTGGACCTTACCATACATTTTGTTTTTTATATATGGAAAGAGTAGGGGTCCATCAAGATTTTTTTTCCTCTCTTTCTAAAATTCTAACTTTGGACTTGGACCACTTTTTTTCACTCTCTTTTTAAAGAATCGGAAATATAATTACAAAGTTATGTCGGTATTATGTTTTTGATAAATGCGGTAAATGTTTAGTGCTTATCATGTGAATGCTCTTTTCTGGTCCTCAGCCATGACATGTTTATGAGGATAAAGGGACTAAGCTCCCAACAAAACAGAACCAAAATGAGGAGATATGTTAACACTTGCCCATTGAAGTGCAACACATCACAATGGCCTGATAAGAAGTTATTCCATCAAAATATAATTAGTATTTTCATTAATGTGAAATTGAATATATATAAAGTGTAGTCATAATAACTAACTAACATAATTGTGTCAAAAAAAAAAAAAAACTCACACAATAATAGGATTTTTATAACAACTCATCTACATATTATGTATACTTAAATATGATCACAAGAAAAACTATCTTTTTGTCAGGAGTTTAACCTTTCACTAAGCTAAAAAAAATTTCTTATTAAATAAAATTTTGTAAAGGGATAGATCTTCTAATTAAATAGGTCATCGCAAATTATTTGTGAAAGGTCTTTTATTTTGATAATTTGCTTGAGACTTTTCCCTTATAAATTGCAGGTATAGTTCTGTCACGCAAACATAGGTCTAGAATAATAGTTTTTAGTTATGGGTTAAATTTCAGACAAATTGCAAGCATTTTTCATTGACTTATATTTATTTAGCGTGTTACTTCAATATTCGTTAAGTTTCTTATAGTTTCAAGCATTTCAACAGTTAATATAGGTAGAATTGATGTTCCTTTATAATTTTGGCGTACTCTCCAGCACTATACATTCTCCCATTTTTCTTCTTTCCGCTCGATACATTATATCAAGTCTGAAAACTCACACTAATGTCAGTAGGATATCCAGGTGGTGGTCCAGATAATTTAGAATGCTCTAATATTCTTAGGACAAGTTGTCTATCATATTCCTCTTATAAAAATAAAAATAATTAAATATTATCATAATTTAGATAAGTTAGGTACATAAAAGAAATAAATAAAATGACTTAATTTAAGAAAAAATTATTTGAGTGATTCTTGAGCAGTCATCAATAAATTCTCCATTTCTCTTGATATGAGTCCCCATATGAATTTCATTAAGAAGCGGAGTTCTATCCAACTTTTCACGCCAATTAGAAAAAATAAATAAAAAATAGTTAGTTATAAGTAATATAAAATCTAAATGATAAATTAATTAATCATCCTTCGCGAATTCAACAACACTAATATTGTCTGATGCGTAGTTGTATCCATTAACTTCAGATGTTTTTTTTTTTGCCTTTTCAGATGTTTTCTTAAAGGCCTCAGAATTCCAATAGGTAACAAGCTCTTGAAATATTTCTTCTCCTATCCAACATGGACGTAATTCTTTTCTTTTCCATCTAAGTCTAACATGCCTCATTTTGTGTGAAATATTTCTTTAATTTGAACTTCATCTCTAACGTCCCAACAACACTTCTCCTACATTGTATGAATTCAAAAAATATTAAATAAAGTATATTCATGATATCTAAATAAATATTAAGGAAATTAAAATAGTAATTACTTAAATGTGTAAGTTAATTATACCTGAAATGCCTTAAACCAATCTTCCCTGTCATCTTCAAGTACTGTTCCATAAGTCGGCCATAATTTTTTATACTTCTCTTTAATAATTTCTGTTATGAACGATGTTGACTGATGTGACGACACGATTCTAAACAACAAAATTTTGAGTTAATATTAATTAAATAAAACTTAAATTTAAAATATAATATAAAATTTACGATCCTCCCCCGGGTCAAATGATAAGTTTGTCATGATGATATCTAATTTTTAATGGCGCATTTCTCAATATGTGATCCCTTATCCTTTGCTCCTCGGGAGCACTGGTGTCTCTATGAGCACTGGTATCTCCATGATCATCTTCTGAAGGCATGGGTGATTAATGGGGCATGCTAGATCCACATGACTTCATATAAGGTACATTTGTGGAATGTTGCATGCTAGGTCCACTCGACTACTTCAGGTGAGTTTTTCTGCTTAAAATCTAAAACAAAGGTGCTCTGAACTATCAAAATATTGGACTCCCCCTTTGTTGTGCAACTGCTTCCTTTTTATAACCTTATTGTAATTTCCATGGATAACAATCAGGAGTTGTGGCTTCATGGAGAAATAGTCGGGAAGACTCAGCTGACTGGAGAAATATCAGAGGGCTTGGGCTTGTGAGATACTGGCGTGGATAAAGTGTCACAAAAACAAAAAAATAAAAATACGTGACTGAAAAAACCAAAACTGTGGCGGGGGCCACAACATGTGTGCCGAGTGCCACACTCCCTTCTTATGCATGGTGAGGGCCATAAAAGGTGTGGCGAGGGCCACAACCTTCTGTGTGAAAATTTTCCTTTTCTTTCCTGTTATTTTCTGTTTCTTTGCACTTTCTTTGCCAATTTCTCTTCTTTTCTCATGCAAGCTTTGTGGATGAAAATATCTGAAATACAATAGAAATACCAGCATAATATGACATAAATAATTAAAAACAGTAAAAGAATCCATGCGAGTCGAGTCGAATATACAATGCAATTTCGCGTTATCATACTCTTTTCAATAAAGGTTGCAATCAAGCTTTCCTTCACACATATCAAAGAAGTGTCGAAGATGTCTTCAAATCAAAAGTGACGATGATGGTTCTCCGTAATCATGAATCCAGACAATCACTATATTTCCAAAAAGGAAGAAAAAAAAAGAATGAAAAAACAAAAGAAAAATCCCGCTAAGTCAAAACCTATGAAGGAGACTTAGGCAAAAACTAGGGCATCCCGCTGACTGTAATCTCAAATGAAACAGTTCAGGCAAAAGTTAGAGATAACAAAATTCAAAAGAAAGAGGTCTTCAAATCCTCAAAATTCCCCACCAGAGTTGATAGAAGTCCTCAACAAAAACAACAAAATGTTGTAAGAAGAAGTGATTGCCTTCACAAAAGAATATCTTGGCTTCTGAGCCATCATCATTATTATCATCAATACAATTCCAAAATCTCTTGAAACCTGAATGCAAAGTCTGAGTTAACTGAACGTAGGACTGAAGATCATCATGAAGATTGGGTTGAGTACAAATAAACTTTGAGCATTTGTCATTTATTTCATAAGCTGTGAACCATGCCACGTTACAACCCTCAAAAGACCTAATTGAAGCCAGGTTTCTTTTGAAAGCATACTACAACAAGGTTGCGTAAACTGAATCCTAAGATTTTTTTTCAAATCATTTGTCTTGGTATCATACATTTTCTTTCTCTTTCACTTTAAATGTCTAAACCGTTGTGTTTTGACCATTGATTCATTTTCTATATAACATCATTCTGAAAATGATTTTGATTTCAATTTTTTTGCATGAGCTCTGTATTAAAATTACCATGTTTAAATGGAGAATTTTTGCTTGCAAATAAGCTTTCCTCATCTAGGAGGTTCAAACAGTTGAGAAACTTGGTCAGTGATCCTATTAGGGGCAAGTATCTTCCAGATTCTGTTGCAAAACCAGTTCAAGATTTGTTGCTCAGTGCAAGTTATTCTCAGAATTGGTTAACCAGGAGATAATTTTAAAGACTCGTACTGGAGCAATCCTTTCCCCCAGTCATTTTAAGAACTGAAACCATGATCAGTTTATTCCCAGCAATCAACTAATCTAGAGAATCCCCAAACAACTATTTATGTCCTTCCTCAAAGGATCATCAGTTTGATACAGTTTATAAGTGTGACAGAAGTGTTTCTCAAGACTTCTTCTTTCCAAGCAGAATTGGCAGAGCTCTCAGTGTTGAGGAATCAAAGTTCCAATCTTACATCCATAAAAGAGTCAAGCTCCATTGTCGTAAACATTTGCATTACATATTACATGCATAGATCCTTCACATATCATATATAGCAAAGGAAATTCATGTATCATGCATAGATTGAAATATGTTTCATGATCATTTGTATTTCCCGAGGTCTTGTTGCTATCAACATCTTACCTTGTGGTCAAAGTCCAATTTACTTGTCGCCTACCAAAATAAATTTTATCTCCCTTGTATTTCGTTTGACTATGTTTACCCGATATTCTTTTGGATATGTCTTTCGTTCTGACGTTTTCTCAGAACCTTACTTTTCTACCTGATGTTTTTTCAAATATGTTTGTCGTTCTGATGTTTTTCCAGAATCCTGCTTTGCTTCTATGATGTTTTTCTGGATATGTCTTTCGTTCTGATATTCTCTCAGAACCTTACCTTCTCTACCCAATGTTCTTTCTGGTATGTATGTTGTTTTGTTGTTCTTCTAAAACCTTACCCCTTCTATCTGATGTTCTTCGGAATATGTATGTCGTTCTGACGTTTTTCCAGAACTCTGCTTTGTCTATCTTATGTTATTCTATATTTGGTTGTGTTTATCTGATGTTCTTCCGAATATATCTTATTGTTCTGATGTTTTCCCAGAACTTGTTCATGCACATTCAATGTTTTCCTTGATGTTTTGGACGTATCTTTGAGCTTGGATAACTTTCCTTTCATTCAATGCTTTTCTGGATGTAAATAGGTTTATTCTCCTTTCCATCTAACGTTTTTCTGGATGACTACTCAAATTTTCCAAATTTGGTTTCCATTTCATCCAATGTTTTTCTGGATGTCTCTGTCGTATTTCCGAGTGTAGGTCTCCTTTGCATTCAATGTTGTCCTAAATGTATGTCCTTGGTTTCCTTCCATCTAATGCTTTTCTAGATGTCTTCGACGTTTCCTCAGAGTTTAGATTAATTTCCATCCAATGTTTTTCTGGATGTGATTTCCGAAGTTCATTCAATGCTCTTCTGAATGTCTTTGATAATGTGTTCCAGAGTTTCATTCAATGTTCTTCTGAATGTTTCTGACGACTACCTCTCACCCATTCAATGTTTTTCTGGATGTGCGTGATTCTTTTTCCAAAGTTCATTCAATACTTTTCTGGATGTGCGTGATTTTTTTCCTGAAGTTCATTCAATGCTTTTCTGGATATCTTTGATGACTGTCTTTGTTGTGTTTTTATAGTTTCATTCAATGTTCTTCTGAATGTCTCGGATGATTTGTTTCTGCTACATTCAACATTGTTCTAAATGTGCCTCATATTCTTCCAAAGACTATTCAATGCTCTTCTGAATATCTTTGACGTTTTCTCCAGCGGAGTTCATTCAATGCTATTCTGAATGTCTTTAATATCTTCCCTTGTTTTATACCCAATAACATTCAAATATTTTTCCAGTTTGTCTCTGACGTATCTTCAGATTTGGTCTCATTCCGCATCTAATGCTTTTCTAGATGTTTCTGATGTATTTTTCAGAGTATGGTTACCTTTTTGCGTTTGACGTTTTATAAGTTAGTTTAAATCGACATTTGCATCGTTTTATAGTTGAAAATACTTGATATTTCACTTCATGCATTTTTATCTCTTTACTCGCTTCTTGCATTGCATTAACTTGTTTATATGTCGATAATATTGATATTTCAGTTTTATAGATAGATTGTTAAAAGCGATTCAACATTGTGCAGAAAATTAACGAGAAAATATTTCAAGTTTTCACCTTTAACATACTGTTTTATGAATCTACGTTTTGCGTAGATCATGTCGGTATGCTCGCTTTATTTTTTTGATACATTTTATAGTTTTTTTAATCGTCAGCGTTTGTTCAGCCTGATATTTTTATTCTCATTTTATTTCGATTTCGATCATTTGAGATATTTTTTATTAATCTTTGAGATTTGTATTTTATTTTAATGTGTTCATTTTTTTTTCCGGTTAATTTAGTATCCATATTTTATCGTTTTTGACTATTTTAAATATCTTTTTTTATTCTGAAAAATTTAAAAAAATATATTTTTACGTGTCTTAATTTTTTATCTTTTAGTTTTTATGTTGATTTTTATCATAAGGGTGTTGTTGGCATTTGTTAAAAAATAGAGAAAACCTATTTTTGTTGTTATAAAAAGAGAGAGATTAGTGAAGAGAAGGAAAACCGAAACCCACTCTTCTTCTTGGCTGAAACGAATCCCGTCTTCTTTCCAATTCCCTTCATAACCCATTAACCAATTCCTTCTTCCATTCATTTTCCACGGTTTCCTTCAACCTCAACCTCTGTTCCGCACAGTCAGCGAGCAACACAAAACCCTCGATCTCTCTTCCGCAGACAACCATTCCACCATCCGCCCCATTCATCTTCCTCTCATATTCACGTTTCATACACCATCAACTGCCAACCATCATCACCTTCACTCTGTAACCTCTTCCGCTCTCGTCACCTGTACCTATAATACTCCCTCCCATCCGAAAACCCACCACCGTGGAAGCTCTCACCGAACACCAATCTACTCCTCTCCGAACTCCCTCCGCGGTAGCCAATTTCCGCTCAACTGCAGAACATTCATCACCATCTCCTGAGCCACTCCGTCGTCCGCACATCCTGCCTCCATCTCTCGTATTCCCTCCGTCTGCTACTGTCCGAGCCATCACCAATTATCAACAATAGTCACTTAAAGTGGAAAAATACCCTTGTAGCTCATGTTTACAAAGCACATCTTTCACGGATGAAACAAAGCGATTTGAGAGTTGAAGTTGATGATGACAGAATGCTGTTATGCATCATTTGTGCCCATATGACAACACCTCTTTCTCCTCTTTTGAGTGGTAAATTCTATATCTATCACTAATTTTTCATTTAATTAATTTCTAGCTGGTTTTGTTAGAATTGAATGATGAAATTAAGGTTGTTGTTGTGATAATTAAGTGATGACATTGTTATTGATGATATTTGTTGTTGACTTAAATTATGAATTGGTGACATTATGGTTTGTTCTAATAGATAATAGTATGATATTGGTAAATGGAAGGATAATTTGTGATGATTACTTGATAAGGATTTCCTTTGGTTTGAGTTAAATGTTGATGGCAATGCGCTATTGTTAGTTTGAATCTTGAGTTGAGTTATTTGTTATGTCGTGGTGATTGTTTAATTGGAAGGAGATTTGGACGACATTGTTGTATAATTTGTTTTGATTTTGAAGATTAACTCGGTTATGGCTTTATGGTTGTTTCTTTGAGTCATTTGAACATGTTTGCGATGAATTTTATCGAGCGTTAATAGGTTAATTGATGGCTTCCCGGATTTTGGTTTGTTTGATTATAGCTTGTTGTGAACTTGATTTATCATGTTTTGAAGTTGAATTGGACAATAGCTTTGAGTTGTTGATTTTGATTTTTGTTTGTGGTTTGAGATCATGATGATCATTGGTTTTGTCTGACTTTGAACATGTTTGGAATGATGAATACAATGTTGATTTTTGCTATTATATTGAATAATAACTTGTGTTCTTGTTTCTTGTTTGAGAAATATTCATTTGTTCATGTGCATTATACAAGTTTTATTTGGTTTAGTTTTCAATTTATCATGTGATCACTAACTTGTTGATGGTTTGTGCAAGCTTACAAGAAGTCTCGAGTTACTTTCTCCATCACAATTCCATTCTATTTTCGATTTCTATTTTCATTTTAATCCATTAGTTCTATATTGTTTTAATTAATTGATGCTTGTTAATTAAAATGAAGTTTATTAATCTATTTTTCTTAACTTCATTAATTAATTTAATCAATTTTTAACTAATTGATTCTCTCTTTATTTCATCCTCTGCTTTTCTTTATCTTTTCACTTTGATCAATTAATTAGATGTTGATTTAGTTACTTGATTTAGTTAATTAATGTGGATTAGCTTACTAATCCATTTTTCTTAACTCAATTAATTAAGTTAATCAACTCTTAATTAATTGATCAAACACTCACTTCATATTTCATTTGTTTCATTTAACTCTGATACAAGTTTCTAATCTACTCGGACTTGGATTTCTTATATCGTATGGGATGTTCGAATTATTTCTCTACTATCCTGTTTGTCTGTTTGTTGGAGTTTTATCTGATGCAGGGATTCTTATTTGATATCTTGATGATACTATAAGTTTTATCTGACACCTTGAGCTTATCCGGTGCACTTTTCCAGCTTGTGATTTATTTTCACCTGATGTGCTTTATTCGTTTGCTTTGAGTAGTATCTGACGCCTTGGGTTTCATTGATGATGTTTGTTTGTGATTTATTTTCACCAGAGGCTTGATATACTCTTGACTTATTTATCCGTTTGTGTCTTTAAATACAAAGGGATGAGAACGCTATATTGATTTCTTTATATCAAGTATGAGCTTCTATTTGATTATAACTTCCTTACTATTTCTTTTACTTTCCTGTACATAGGACACCCTCTTCATCTCTTTCTTATTCTTCAGTTTTCAAAACCTTCTCATTTATTTTCAAAAACCTTCTTGTTTAAAAATTTGAACCGCTTTCATAATAAATCTCGATTTTGTCCAGTGTTTTTCTTTTTCAACTTTTTCTTAATCAAACTTAAGACACTTAACAAATAAATATGTGAATCATACGCAATTGAGTCTTATGGGGACTAGTGAGATGGTACATTGCGAAACTTTGCTCTTTCTTCATTTTCTAGACTTTATTACGATTCAAGTTGTAAATCTTTCAAGTTAACAAAACACTTTAACTTCATTCAAACCTTTTGGTGCGCTCGAGCACCTTTTATCCTTTAAAACATTTTCCAAGATTAGACATGATTCATTTATAGTCGAGATATCATCCTCTTATATCCATGGTTATTAAGGTGTCAATTTTTCCACTTGAGTGCCAGAGGTGTTTCCAAATCCTCTTCAGGTTGACGCACGATCGATCTTTCTCACACCTTGTGGGCGATTAGTTGGGATTTCTCTCCTAAAAATGATGACTTGTCTCTTCGTTAAAAAATAACTAACACACAGTTTTCTTCTTTTTGAGAAGAACTACGAGTGTCCTGATCCCTTATTGTACGAAGGGGGTACGTAGGCACAAATGTTCCCAACCGCGGCGGACACAATAATAAAAAAAACATTTTCTTTTATTTGTAAACATTTTTTCATTTATTTCATTTAGCAAGTGTAAGCCTTTAGATAACACACTCTTCGATTAGAAACAAACAAAGTAGTTCATGCGAAATACCATAGATGTTTAGGGTGTTAACACCATTCATTTGCATAACCAACATCCGTACCTTGATCTTTGTAATTATGTGTCGACATAATGACCTCATATAGGTCGACACATGTCATTAAGAATCAATTTTTGCATAAAAGTTAGTTGCATGTGTCGACGCATCCATTTTATGCATCGACATATGTATTATTGTTTTAAAGCCTGAAAGTTTCTGTAATTTCGTGTCGACACATTGACCTCATACATGTCGACACATATCATTACACGTGTCAACAAATAACTTGCATGTGTCGACACGTATGTCATAATTTAACAAAAAATTATTTCCTTTTCAAACTTCTAAGTTTCTCTTTTGCCTCCAACTTACACACTTATATATACTTCATACATGCATCTTTTTCAAGTTGATGAAACTATAAACACATACTAAGATTGATCATCACCATCAACCTTGCTGTTGTACTCTAAAATTTGACCTCCCATTTTCACTCAAGACATGCCTTTAGAGGTCCACAATTGCTCAAGGATGACCAAGAATTGACCAGACAAACTCTCCTCCTAAGACAATGAATCTTAAATTAGGGTTTCAACTTCAAGAAATATGTATGAGTCCAAAGGGTCCCAAATATTATCCATTGTCCTAATATATACTCAAGATCATCCATGCCAAATTTCATGCCTTGAGCAATAAGTTTGCTTAGTCAACTGCTCAAATGTATGAAAATAAACTATACTAGGTCAAAACTCAACTGTGGCTCAAGTACAGTCAAACTTCAAGATTTTTGGTCAACGTCAATATTTTGAAGTATTATCCATCATTTTATTAAGGATTGAACTTGATTCCTCAAGAAATGTTCCTAACTCATCAAAAGTCAAAAATAGCAAATTAAGGGTTCTATAGGAAAAGTTAACCAAACTTTGACCAGACATAATTTTCTCATACTTTATCAGAAATTTTTCCTCCAAGGCTCCTTTTAAAGAGAATCCAATTCCCTATAACTTCTCTTCAACCCTCAAGTTTAAGAAATTCCTCAATCAAAAGATACAAGCTCAGACATTATAGGTCTTTTCAAAAAGTCAACAAAAACATCTCTTGGATCAAAACTCCTTACATGAACATGGAAGATCCAATTGAGATGAAACCAAACGGGTTGTTTAGAGGACATCCTAATATCTCTAGAGAGTCCAAGAACACCCTCATAGGATTAAAATTGAGAAAGATATGCATTGCTAAAGTTGGTCAATTTTTGTAAATGTGCATGAAGCCAATATTGATCAAACTTGATTTTTTTCCAAATGGGCCCATGTTTCCATGCTTGAAACTTGTTCTTAACATGGCCTGCGACCCCTGAGCTCACTCATACATTATTTCATTATTTTTATTATTTATTTTAATTTTTTATTCATTTAAATCAAAATAAATCAAATAAAATATTGAAATAATGAGATAAAATCCAAAGATTTGTTTTAGGGCCATATAATGAGTCTAAGATCTGATGAGCAAGTGAAGATTTTGTGCAAGGACTTATTGGAATGAAAAGAGCATGTTTTGGCCAATTTTGGAAACTTAAATTACAAATTGCAAATCAGATCTTTTTCTCACAAATCTTCAAGATCGCATCCAGTTTTATTGACCTAATACATTCTATTATATATTCATAACCTTGCCTGATCAAAAGGACAAGGGTTGGACGCATAGAATACACACAAGAAGTTCCAAATTTTTGACAAAAAGTGGCAATCGGTTTGACATTTGTAGAAGGATTCAAAGAAACTGAACGTTTGCAATCCATTCCTGGGGACTTTCTGAAGCTAACCACATCATTCTCACGCGTCAAAGCATCCAGAACCATCATTTACATCATCACGGTTTGTTCATGATATTTTGAATTCGATTTTGACCATACACGCGTTATAAATAAGTTTTGAGTATGCATTCATGTTTGTATAAGTATTTAGAATGTGTTTGAATGATTAATTTCCAGTTTTGATGCATATATGACCAACTGCCATTGTTAGGGTTTTGAGGTTCATTTTGGGGTTTTTAGGTATAAGCGAAATTAGTCCTAATAAAAAATACCATTGTGCTCAGGGGGTCAGACCCGATTGATCCATGCCTTTACATTAAATTTATATTGCCTGTTGTGAGTCTTGGAAATTTGCAGGTCCTTTAGTGATGGTTTTGTCCGTAGGTAAAAATTTCTGGGCTAAAACGACAGCCGCTGAAGAAGACGATGGTGTGGCATGACCTGGTTGGGCCATTTAAATGCAAAGCACGTTTTTCTTAAATATATATTTAATTGTTGATTTTGGATTATATTATTTTGTTGTTGTTTGTATAAGCGAATAGACAAGTGGCTCAGATGACAGGAATGAAGGGCGTTAAGGCGTGCATGTGTGAGAGGTTAGGGGTTCGACCTCTGC